ATGTGTGTATATATATATATATATATATGTACACATCCTACAGGATATCACCAACATAATTACAAAAAAGGTAACATTTGCCCTGCGATGCTCACACAACAGGAACACAGACCATGTAAAAATGTTACACAAACATCCAGAATTACTCAAGAAAGCATGAACTTTATTCAAAACCAGCAAGGGAGGTTTATGTATAGAAAAACTTGTGGCCACCTGCGTCCCCGACTTACAGCGGTTTACACATCAAAGATCAATAGGTGACAATGCAGCCCTGCAGCACATCTGGTGGGGCAGCACCTGTCATGATCAAGATCTCATTCGACGGGCACCAACACATACGATACCATGCAACGGCACACTTACGATTTGGCTGTGGAAAGCTGCAAGGACTGGTTGCACATGTGGGACAGCTCTGGCCTGCTGAAAGTCACTGCCTGCCTTTAACTTTGACTGAATCTTTACCAGTCTGGCATGACCTTAACATAAACCTCATTTAACCATGCCAGAACTCAACCAGCCTGGAGCTGACATAAGCACCTGAGAAATTACAATTCATCCAGGTAAGTCATGTAAAGACACAGAGACACAGGCACACACACACACAGCATTTGGATGAAAGGTCAAGAGGTCACGATGTAAAAATACCCAGGGCCTTGGCAGGTAACACTCGTGGGCCCCGCAATTGCATACAATGGCTTACAGTTGTGATTCTGACATATGTGACCGGGATTTTCAGTAGCTTTCTGGAGCAGTCGGCAATGGGCCGGTGGACCCCTGCGTCCCTCACTTACATCCGTTTACACGTCAAAGGTCAACCAGTGACAATGCAGGCCTGCAGCAGCACATCTGCTGGGGAAGCACAAGTGATGATCCAGCTCTGAGGCTACAAGCTGCTCCACATACAATGACGTGCACCAGTGCAGGAAAGCCAAAACGGCTTATCCTAACGCTTACTTTCAACCCAATTTGACTCTAATTGACCACAACCTGGATGTGACCCCTGATCTTAACCACACCCTTGATTATGGGATGGGACTCTGAGGAGGGATGATGGACTGTGCCCCCCAGTCCAACTTTCTTCACCCCAACCCCCTAACCCCATAAACTGCTGACAAGGTTTTTTCCCATTGGTGCAATCAATTAAATTTATGACCACTTTTTATCCCCCACACAACCCCAACTGGACTTCTGGTCAAAGGAGGAGAGCAGAGGAAACCTGGACCACAAAACTCAACAGCAGACAACCACACAAACTTAATAAAAGCCTCTTTACACACAATTTACAATTCTCTTTCTCTTTCACAGCCCGGTTCCAGATTATTATACATTACGGTACATCTAATATGCAATTGTCAATAACAGTTAAAGACACAAATGCTCAATTTCATCTCTTTCTTTCTATTGTATACAAGGTTCATTACATACTGGATCATTTGCCATATTCTGGTCTACTTCATCACGACATCCTGTCAATACAACCTGGGCTGCACCTGAGTTCATCTGGTTTTTGATTGCAAAATGACATCCCAAAAATAAAAAATAACATTTCAAATCAATTTGATGTAATAGTTTTCTTTGTTTTATTTGATGGTTTTCTTTATATATATATGTTGACTTTGACTAATAATTAATATTGTTACCATTACTACACACTACAGAAATGGAGGACAGTCATGGAAGACAGACATGGAGGACAGTCATGGGGGACAATCATAGAAGACATACATGGATGACAGACATAGGGGACAATCATGGAAGACAGACATGGAGGACAGACATGGAGAACACCGATTGATGACAGGACAGTCATAGTAGTGATAAAACCTTAAACAAAAATTCGGAGCTCAGATTTGACTCTTGAGATGTTTAATGTTTTACAGCCGAGTCATTTACATCAAACACAGTAGGACTACAGCAGGACTACAATAAGACTACAATAGGACTACAGTAGAATTACAGTACAATTATGACACACGTGTTTAATTATCTGATCTTTCAATGAATGACCTCCTGAGACCAGCAGCTGAGGTTTGTCCTCTGTAGGACACCGTACATCTTTAATTTCCTGTAATGACAAATGAAAAAGAAAAAACAATGATGACATCACAGAAACCGGAACCTTTAGTTTAATGACTGGAGCCTACAGACAGGACTCAGGGAATAGGGACCTCAATCCACCTGTCTGTCCACCTCTCTATCCACCTGTGGGCATGTCTCAGTGGAACACCGTCTGTCTCCAGCGTTTGTCAGGTGTGAACGGCCACAGACAGTCAGTGATGGCGGCAGCAAATGGTCGTGGCTCAACACTCAAATTCAGCAGCTGAAGACGAGAACAGTTCAGCTGACTGTTGATTGGACGAAGGGTCGAAGCTGCTGCCGGCTGCTCTGTCAACTGCAGACAAACAGAAAGGGAAACAGACAGATAGACAGACAGACAGAGAGTGAGAGAGGTAGACATATATTCACAAGTATATTACTATGTTTTATATTTTATA